CACGGGTTTGAGGATTAGTGATGTTATATAATATAATATAAAATGTATATTAGTAATAAGAAAATTGTTTTAATAAGTCAGAACCATTATTTTTTATTATATAAAAACACTTCAAAAATTGTATTTACTAAATTGCATTTTACTTTTTTTTTTTTTGCAATGCAATGCAATAAACAGTATTATAAATCTGGCCTAAATAGAAACTTTATAATATAATATAATAAACTGAGAAATATAATATATAGTTAAGTGAGAAACATTAAATTTTATTATATATATAATTTTACTTATTAAAAATGTACTAGTAATAAATTTATATATACACTTAAACACTTGTATTAGTCTTTTTATTGCGTCCACAAAGAATACATCTGTGTTTTTTCCTCTACCACATTTGGTTTCAAAGAATAAGTTTAACCAAGCTCTTATTACCCAGAATTCCTCAAAGGAGGCATGTGACCTGCTGCAGGGCAGAAAGGCTTTAGTTTGCGTCATGAGTCGTGATGTGAGGATTACAAATGACCGGGATGTGTGTGTTCAGAGAGCGAGTGAGAGCGTGTGTGTGAGAGAGAGCGAGTGAGAGAGCGTGTGTGTGTGTGTGTGAGAGCGAGTGAGAGAGCGTGTGTGTGTGAGTGTGTGTGAGAGAGCGAGTGAGAGCGTGTGTGTGAGAGAGAGCGAGTGAGAGAGCGTGTGTGTGTGTGTGTGAGAGCGTGTGTGTGTGAGAGCGCGCGTGAGTGTGTGAGAGCGCGTGTGTGTGTGAGAGCGAGTGAGAGAGCGTGTGTGTGTGTGAGTGAGAGAGCGTGTGTGTGTGTGAGTGAGTGTGTGTGTGTACTTGGTATTTATCACGTTATGGGGACCAAATGTCCCCACAAGGATAGTAATACCAGTACATTTTGACCTTGTGGGGACATTTTTGAGGTCCCCATGAGGAAACAAGCTTATAAATCATACAGAATTCGTTTTTTGAGAAAGTAAAAATGCAGAAAGTTTCCTGTGAGGGGTAGGTTTAGGGGTAGGCTTGGTGTAGGGCTATAGAATATACAGTTTGTACAGTATAAAAACCATTACGCCTATGGAATATCCCCATAAAACATGGAAACACAACATGTATGTGTGTGAGTGTGTGTGTGAGTGTGTGTGAGAGAGAGCGTGTGTTTGAGTGTGTGCGCGTGTGTGTGAGAGAGAGTGAGTGAGTGTGTGTGTGTGTGTGTGTTGAGCTGCTGTTCTCATGAACAGACCAAAGGTTCAGAAATATATCAGCCTTTCAATCCATGAAAGTCTTTCATTCTGAAATACTGCAAAACTATTAGTACCACCAGCCTGTAGAATTAAAAACTGAACAGAAGCCATCAAATTATCACTTTTGTTTACTCACATTAGATGTGGTTTAAAGCAGTGTTTCTCCTCTCTTCCAGATTCCAAACGCTCCTCCGGCCTATGATAAGATCGCCTCCGGACCTTCACCTCCTCCTTACTCACCATAAGACACAAACTAAGGAAAATCTGAGGATTCCTGTAATGTTTGTGGGATGAGCGGTCACATAGCGATGGTGGCCAGCGTCGGTCCAGGAGAGCCACAGTCCTGCAGAGTTTAGCTCCAACCTTGATTAAATCTCACCTGCCTGTAGCTTTCTATTAACTCTTGGACCCTGATTAGCTTCTTCAGGTGTGTTTGATTAGGTTTGGAGCCGAACTCTGCAGGACTGTGGCTCTCCAGGACCAACGCTGGCCTTTTTCTGGTATACAGGAATCTTACCAAAGCATGTGGACTATTAACATCTGACACTACAGTGCCTTTTAAACACAACGTCATTCATCAGACATGAGGCTAATAAAGTTTAATATTAATTTAATCCAATAGAGTTTTTGTTTTAGTTCAAGGTATTTAAAAAGAAAAGGTCATTTGCACCTAAATCTGTTTAAGATGTTCTCAGTTTTAGATTTATACTGTTTTAAATGTCGTCAGATAGAAGCATAGAGATTTCGCAGTTTATTTCTGTACACTTCTAATTACCTGTTACTGATTATTTACTTTTAATAATTAATCTTTATCAAACATATGTCTGTATTTCTTTACCAAATGTCTTGACTGTAAAAGTGAACACCTGTAATGAAACTTTTATTTACATATTCGCTGAGCTCCAGACACCGGACTTGGGAAATCTCAGACTCACATATACGAGGCAAACTAAGTTTCTATGAAGAGATACTGAGCTTCTTATGCAGTGAAGGGCATCACTGCAGTGTCAGGAGCTGTTTTGCGCAAACCGTTCAATACAAAAGAATAAAACATTAAAATACTGCATTTAGTTTCATTACCCCTTTCAAGTGAAAAATGCATTTGTAATATTTTGTTCTGTAATACAGGGTTTCCGAAACGGGTTCGTGAAGGAACTGCAGGGGCTAATAATTGCATAAATAAAATATACATTAAAAAATATGCTAAATCAAAATAAAGCATTTCCTAAAATCATAGAAATATTTTTAGATTTTATATACTGGAAAAATGTTAAACTATATCATAAAAACTAAGGGGGACTTCAAGAAAATATTTGAGGTCAAATGGGTTTAGCTGACAAAAATGTTTGGGAATCTCTGATTTAATATGTTTAATAAACTCAAAGAATAGGCACGGTACCCCAATGTTTTACTTCAGTCATAAATATGTTTATTTTCATGAATATAGAGGAAACACAAAACTGTTATCAGATAATGTCTGATAATACTCAACCTAAACGCCTGAATGCACTAACGCAGGCTTGAGATCAGCCAGACATACTCTTAAATAGACTGAAGACTGTTCTACAGGATAATTTTAATGGAAAATACTACAAAACATTCAAACCTTTGCATACAAATGGAGTAGAAAAGTCAGCCAAACAAATACTGTTATCTACATTACTGGCCATTTGAAATCTCTAAATTTCTCTTTGCGAAACCAATTTTATGTACAACTCCAAGGGTAACCAATTTCTCCTCAATATGTATTGTAAAGAGCAAAATGCGCAAAATATTAATATAGATATTTAGTATTCAGCCTCTCAACATGGGGAGAAATGGAACCAGAAGGAAGCCCACTTGTACTCAACAAGACGCAAAACACTGAACAGACCATCCTCTGTGATCACGACGGGAAAACAGATGACCTCCAGAACCATTTCAGTGATCAGGTCTCCCCAGTGTATCTCGTTTTCTCAGTGGATCACTTGTGTTTAAAATAGGTACAGTAAAGCTACTTGAGGATGAACTAACCATTTGAGCGGCCATTGGCTTAGCTACCACTTGCACGCTTGAGGCTGACGCTTGAACGATATTTAAGACGGCACCATCTGGGCTCAACAACAGTTTACTAGGAGTGGGAACTTGTACAAGAACCATGCTTTGACTTTGTGGTGGCTGGGGTAAAATAACAGGCTTTCTGATTGTCCCAGGTTGCACGGCTCTGATAGGTGGACAATGTGTCATTATGACCGTGCTCATAGAGGGAGGAACGGTTGCAATAGGAGTGGCTGGACTGACGTTGGTTGGACCACCGATTGGTGGAACCATTGCAACTGGAAGTTTCTGCATCCGAGATATCGTGCTGCTCATGGGTGGTACGGTTACCATTGGCGAATGCCTTGGAATCGCAGCTTTCACTGGTGCTATGACTGGCGCCACTTGGTTTTGGGTTGGTCTTCCTTGCAAGAGCATTGGAGACGTTGTGCTTATTAAACCTTCTTGAGGAAAAGAGGTTTCTTTGGGATACCCGGTCATACCTTGTGATGCTGTAACTGAGACGTTGGAAGCTTGAAAGATAGGAAGTCTCACAATGTCTGAAGATACACCAGGACGCAGTGTTTGTGCCACTTGTGAGAGAGCAGTAGGGCCAGACACGTTCAGTGGAGTTCTGGTGCTCAGTTGCTGACGGACTTGATCAGAAGGTCCAACTTTTGGAGAGGGTAGCCTGACTGGTGTTACCAATCTCACACCTTGCACAATTGAAGGAACGGTGTAGGTAGCTGAACTGTTTGGACCTCTAGGAACAGTGGAAGCAGGACTTGGTCCTTGCAATCCTCGAGGACCAGCAGGACCTGGACCTTGCAGTCCTCCAGGACCAGCAGGACCTAGGACTTGCAATACTCCAGGACAAGCAGGACTTGGACCTTGCGATCCTCGAGGACCAGCAGGACTTGACCCTTGCAATTTTTGAGGACCAGCAGGACTTGGCCCTTGCAGTCCTCCAGGACAAGCAGGACTTAGGACTTGCAATCCTCCAGGACAAGCAGGACTTGGACCTTGCAATCCTCGAGGACCAGCAGGACTTGTCCCTTGCAATTTTTGAGGACCAGCAGGACCTGGACCTTGCAGTCCTCCAGGACAAGCAGGACTTAGGGCTTGCAATCCTACAGGACAAGCAGGACTTGGACCTTGCGATCCTCGAGGACCAGCAGGACTTGACCCTTGCAATTTTTGAGGACCAGCAGGACTTGGCCCTTGCAGTCCTCCAGGACAAGCAGGACTTAGGACTTGCAATCCTCCAGGACAAGCAGGACTTGGACCTTGCAATCCTCGAGGACCAGCAGGACTTGTCCCTTGCAATTTTTGAGGACCAGCAGGACCTGGACCTTGCAGTCCTCCAGGACAAGCAGGACTTAGGGCTTGCAATCCTACAGGACAAGCAGGACTTGGACCTTGCGATCCTCGAGGACCAGCAGGACTTGGCCCTTGCAATGCTTGAGGACCAGCAGGACTTGATCCTTGCAATCCTCCAGGACAAGAGTCGGAGATGAGCAGAACATGGGTGCCAGGTCCAAGGCCTTGAGTAGGTACAACAAATCTGGTGTTATTGATCAGGAGCTGAGTTCCAGTGGCAAGTGGGGCAGTGGTGTTGATCACTATTTTCTCCTGAACACTGTGGTAGAGGTGGTAGAGGTCGGAGGACTGACCACAGAAGTCATGACCACTGGAGGAGTTAAAGCAGAGCTGCACCTCAATGCAAAAGAACTGGACACTCCAGAAGAGGAGGTATTGGTTGTCGTTTTAATTGGTGAGCATGAAGTGTAAAGGGATGTGGTCACTTGCTTGTTAGCTGCCACATCAACTGGTAACATAGTGTGTTTGGTAATCAGGCTTCCCAAATAAGAAGAAGATGTATTTGAAGTAGAGCTGCCAGTCGATAACCCTGATTTACAGTGAAGAGAATTTAACGTTGAAACTGATGGAGGCACATCCGGTTTTACAACTGACAAAAGTGCAGAGGAAGCCATGTGGCTGGTGCCTAGAGTTGAAAATGTGAGTGTTTTGCCATCAACAGTCCCAGATACTTTCGGAGCACTTTCAGTATTCCCTAACAGACTTCTGCTTGCAACCAAACAGCTTTTTGGACCAATCTGGAGTCCACCTGAGGTTGACGTTGCAGGTACTCTGGAGACGATCACAGGTGTAGTTTTCGTAGAGGCGTTGGTCGCTGATGGCATATTCCTGTTTGTACCAAGTATTCTTGATGTTAACCCTGGGACACTGATGCTCTGGATGCTTGTACCAGAAGAAGTGCAGGATAAGGTCGTCCCCAACTTGGGAATGACCTTCAACGCTGGTGTACTAGTAGAAGAAATGTTAACCTCTGAAAGTGATGCCACTTTTGGAATGGTAAGTGCTGAGTTGCTTAAGTACATGACCCGTGATCCTGGCACGGTACAGGTTGCTGTAGTAGTGGTGACCTTTGAAGGGATATTTGATGAAGGTGTGACCAGGAAAACCTTTTGGAAAGTCGATTGGTGTGGAGTTGTGCTTCCTGGTAAAGCCCATTTTTGTGGGGGCTTCAGTCCACATTTAGAGACCGTATTCTGCTGAGCACCTTGGACATCTTTTGCAGTTATAAGGACACTATCGTTGCCTTTGCTTGTGGCTAGCAATGCAGATTTACCAGGGATTGTTGTTTTGGCTGTAGTACCGTTATTGGAAATCTGATTCAAGGTTAAAGGAGCGACAGTTCCTGCCATAAAAGTAGACGAGCTGACTGGAACAACATCGTTCGAGAGTGACTGAGGAGTGACTCCAGGTAAAGCTTTAGCAGCGAAGGTGGCCAAAACAGCTTGTGTAGTGGACGTGGAAGACTTTGACACCAGAAAGGCTTGAAGTTGCGGCGAGATTGTAAAAACCGGGCTGGGTGGCAAAGCCCCCGTTCCACTCTCCGACTTCTGAACCTTCACCACTCCTGTGTTGCCTCCTCTCGTAGTGACAAGGATGGATTGCGAGTCTCTAATGCACACTGTCCTGAGCTCCTGTTTAGAGTAAGGTTTGGTCGGCCCACTGCTGGCTGATCTATTGAGGGCCATCTTTGGTTCAGTAGTCTTTTTAGGCACACCAACAGTCATTAAGGTCCTTAAACTGGGAGTAACTACAGCAGATGGTGTTCTTACAGCGCTGGTATCTTTCAAAGGTGCCACCGGCTGGACAGGAACCTTGTTTTCCGGTATGGTGAACCCTGAAACATTGGACAAGTACGTTGTCGTCTTAGGGACAGATGCAGAGGTCTGGGCTGCCTTATTCCCAGTGCTTTGAATCAGTAGATTTGAAGGCAGGATAACGACTTGTTGCATCACCTTCTCCCCTGATTTTTGATTTGATATTGGTTGCACTGAAAACTTTACAAAAGTACTTCCTTTCCTGAGAAGCCCCACGCTTCCTGCCGTCTTATACACCACCTGTCCAGTGCTTTCGGTTGTGGATGTCGTACTTGTTGTAAGTGTTTCTGAGACAAAGACAGGTTCAGAGTGTGGCGTAGGTGGACAGGATACTCGGACAGATGGCAGAGTTACAGATGCTGTCTTGTTATGACTTATTAAGGTCACTTTGTTTCCAACACTCTTAGCCAGCAATGATTGGATGGGTTTGTAAGTCCCCTGAAAGCTACTCGTAGGCTCAAGCAACACTGAAGCTCGTGGGTTCGCTGTTGCATGTTCCCTGGATGCAACTTCCACATTAAAATCAGATGTCAAAGAGCTCTCTGGGTCTGTTTTTCCTCTCTTGCACGGACTCAGTTCCTCACTGAATGCACCAGTTTGGTGCTGTTTTGAACTGCGTGTGAAGGGTCCAAGCTCTGATGAATGCATGGCAACATCAGGTCTGTCGAATAGACATCTTGATTCGTGATTTACATTCTCTGCCAAAAAAAGTCAGCATGCATCAGTCAAAACAAACATCACTGAATGCATTTGGAAAATGGAAAACAGGAATTGAGGAATTGAAAGATAAAAAAGTGCTGCTCCAACAACCAAAGCAAGGATATTTGAAACACTTCCTTGTAATAAATTCATCAGACAACTAGTTTCATATTGTTTGGTTAGTTATGCATTAGAATGTCAACAATCCTTTAGGGCTTGTACTGTTTTTTCTTCTCTTTGCACTGCTAAGAACTTACATAAAGTCCATGCAATTGGTAAAATTAGCTGTTTCAAATGTTTATCTGACTCACCTGTGATCTCAAAATCTTCCTTCATAGTCCTGCCCATTTTGACTTCACTCTCTTCCAGTTTGTTTGTTGTCTCTGCGGATAACAATTCATCTTTGCATGCAACTTCCCCAGTATCTTCTGTATCCATCTGCTCCCTGATGAAGTTCTCATATTCGGGGTGTTTTTTTTTATTCGTCACACTCCTTTTTCAAGCGCGCTGTGTTGAGGACAAGGACAGGGATGAATTCTCAAAGCCCTGTTGCCAGGAAAACATCGCCTCAAGGTAGAAAAGAAAAAAAGAAAACATCTAGGCGCCTGTTGAATGCAGCGAGGTGTATCAGTCACTGCGCATTACAATGGAAAGCTCTTTCTTGGATATAATTCAAATTCACCTCCCAGATCGCTTGAGAAAACCTTTCTTTGATCGAAAACAAGACTGAAATGGAGAAGTCTGAAAAACCACAACGTCAAGATTCTCAAAGGGGAAAAAATATGATTGCACGGATTTAAGATTTCCCATCTATATTCAGCATGTGGTTTCAGTGCAACAAGGTAAAATGAGTTCGCTTTCAAACATGCACTCTGGTAAATCAAGTCAAACTCAAAGTAGGCTCATGTTTACTCCTTTACCTGTTCCTCTGGAAGGCCTTGACGAGTTTGGGTTCCCATGGTAACAGCTCATTTAGCAGCCTTATAAGTGTGATGTGCAACTCTTTCACGGCGGCTCTTTTGTTTGGCCATCGTCCCTGAAATACGGCACAAAGACACACATCACATACACATCAGTCTTTAAGTCTTCAGTCACTAAGACAACGTTGCTATATTAAACACTGGATTTTGGAAATATCAAATTGATATCATGCATGCATGCATGCAAACAAACCTGTTTTGGCCACATCGAAATGTTTACTTCACATTAAAATGCCTTGCTTTAAATATCCACACAGTTCAGGATTTATATTGAATGCATTGAAATTATTTGTCCAACAAAAAATATAAAGTCATTATTTAGTGGCATCAATAAAAGTCACAGATAAAACACTGTCATATAAATATTAAATGCATGTATGTTTATGTTCCCTCTCTTACTAACAGATCTCTTTTTGCCGTCCAGTTCATTTAGTTATCTTCTGTTTTACTGATCAGGACTCTGAGATCATCCAGACTGGAGCAAACCAACTACAGAATGCAAACAAACGTTTTATTATATTTGTTTTTATTTACATGCACTGGTACTGAATTTATACTGTAAAGCATTTTTTAAATACAGGTTCAGTTGAGTCTATGTTTAAATGAGTGTGGTTTTAATTATTCAAACGTTGTAATAAATTCTAACAAATGCTGAACTGAATATCTGCTGCCTTCTAGTGGAAGTCGGACCGAATAAACAGCAAGCCATGCTTACAGATGCATTATGGGATGCTGGGCTGAAACGTTCATATTTACTTATAAAAGCGTCTGCTGAATGAGTGAAAATAAATGCAAATCATCTGTGAAATGCAGAACATTTTAAGGCCTATAAAACGCTTGATGTTTTGAAAATAAGATTGAGATCAACAACAAAAATCCAAACCAAACAATATGAAAGTGGTGAGAGAAAGTGTTTTTATTAAAAGAATTCTACGCAATGTAATATTGTGAAATATTATTATGATGTAAAATAATGTTTTTCTATTTTAATATACATTAAACTGTAATTTATTTCTGTGATGCGCAGCTGGATTTTCAGCATCATTACTCCAGTCTTCAGTGTCATACTAAATACTAAATTAGAAATAATTCTAATCACATTAAGAATCGCAAACAATTTTTGTATCATAAATTGTTTAAATATGCAAATGAGGTATTATCTAATTAAAAATGCAGTAATAATCATACATTTACAGTACATGTGATCATTAGATAAATCCAGGTTTATAATTCTTGTTTGATTTTATTGTCATATATTACAGATTTCTCTTTTTATCCCTCCATAAATCAGAAAATACTGTCAGCAGAAAGATTTTCACCATGTTTTTTTAGGAGTAACATGTGTAAATCTGTGAATGAAATATGAGGGTTAAAGAAGAAAAATGGTTTAAGCATAAAAGCAATAAGTGTAATACTGCTTTAAATTGTTGTATTTCACACACACACACCCACACACACACACAAATTCTGTTTAATTTAATTGCAATTTTGTTTTTGTTTTTCTGAGCAAAAAATAAATATCATACATTATCCCGATTTAGAAGACGCTCACTAAAATGTCATTCAGTGTAACAATCCTGTCAGGCATATTTACAACAAAAATCAATTTATGACATATTAAAAGACCAATTACGTTCACCCCAAATACTAATTAGTTGTAATTTTACATTTTTTAAATGTGCCACTATCCTAGGTTTGGCCGATTTGTCAGTAAGAATCACTAAAATGTCATTCAGTGTAACAATCTTGTCAGGCATATTTACAACAAACAAACATCAATTTATGACATATTAAAAGACTAATTACTTTCACTCCAAATACTAATTAGTTGTAATTTTACATTTTTTAAATGTGCCACTATCCTAGGTTTGGCCGATTTGTCAGTAAGAATTTTTTACTCATTTAAAACACAATAAAATTTAATATGCTCCCTTATTCTTTTATATATTTTAATATGTACACGTCAGAATAAGCATGTTGTTTGAATTTTTACATAAATATTGTGTTACACTGAATGACAATGTAACATTATTTCAACCAACGCAACATTTTATTCTCCAAAAACTTATTTGAAACCTTAAAAGTAGACACTTTACTAACATTTAATGTGCGTTCTATGGACATAAAATCACTTTAGTAAATTTCTTTTGATGCGCACATCTTAACGTCTTTGACCCATGAACAAACCTTCAGAATATAGAAAGAAACTAAAGTTTGGTGAATGAAAGAGAAAAAACTCTACAGACGCAAACAGATGAATTGGGATGGATGTTTTCTTTCCACTTCTGCTCGTCGTTGGCTTTTCTTATCACCTGGACAACAAGGTCAGCTTTTGTTCTAGAATGATCTCCAGTTTCTGGGCCTGTTTGGAGATCCAGTGATCGACGCCGTGAAAGCGGTAACAGTTCTCTAGCATCAGTCTGAAATCTGACACGAACGCCGTGATGGACTTATGCTTCTCTGAGAGGAAGCTCTGAAATATTCTGAAGGCCTGCTGGATCTCGGGCGTGAGATCGTCCCCGTCGTCCAAGTATGCCGTGAGATTCTCCAGCCCTGATTGGTCAGTCGAACCGTTGCAGGAGGTCAAGGTCAAGCGGTGGTTCGGGTTCATGTCCGGGGAGGCATGTGATGTGGGTGCACATGCGTGTGCGCTCTCACATGTGTCCGAATTAAGCTTCATTCTCCTGCCGTGATGCTGAGGGCCTCGCTCACCTGCACAGGTAGCATCATTTGTCAAGCAACGTCAATCTGTCATAACAAGAAGCCATTGCTGTTCCTGATGGAGCCTGTTTGAAACAAACAAACAAAAAAACCAATTAATTTGTTCTTCCTAGGACCATTATAAGCATACTAATTAACTAATGACTGAATGCATTTCCATAAACAATCCGCTTAAACTCATTTAAAGTGTATTAACCAGCTCTTAAATGCGTTAACCTTTCATTCTCGTCATCATGTTAATGTTTCATGAGTTTTCACGACATTACCGGAGCGCTGTTCGATGTTGTCGAGGGAAACATTAAACCGCCCGCACTAGGCCTCGATTTCACTCTCACACCCGGGAGGGCTCGCCTGAGCACCATGGTAATACCTGGTTTTATTACAACGAGAAGAAAAGCAATGAAACCTGATTCGTCTCTCCATTCTCTCCTGACCCTCCAGGCTGGAAACATGAACGTGTGAATATTCTAGTTCTATTTGACCTAAAACTCCCACATTCTGTCCTACTGTTCCCAAAATAATCTTTGAGAAAATCAACCATATGTTCCCAGTAAAGCTTTCAGAGTTTATTTCTGTGTTCATGTGAATTATTGATGAGGATGCTTCAGATTGTAGAAGTCAGAACTGAATTCAAGTTGAGCAGAAAGTCTGAAATCTTTCAGGAGAATCCCACAAAAGCTGTCAAGAAAAATCCTGGCTCATATTTACATTTTTACAGATCATAAAGAAAATTAAAGTCATTTTATTTATTTGGTAACATTTTAAAATCTGTTAGGCCTAATAGAAAATTGTTATTATTAGGTAACACTTTACAATAAGGTTCCATTAGTTAATGTATTAACTAACATGAACAATACATTTGTTACAGTATTTATTAATCTTTGTTAATGAAAATACAGTCGTTCTTTGTTAGTTCACAGTGCATTAACTAATGTTAACAAGCACAACTTTTGATTTTAATAATGCATTAGTAAATGTTAAAATTAACATTAACTAAGATTAATAAATGCTGTAGAAGTATTGTTCATATTTAGTTCGTGTTAACTAATGAACCTTATTGTAAAGTGTTACCCTTAATTATTATATTTTCATGATGATTCAGCATGTCAGTATTCTTCATAAAGAAAATGAAGTCTATTTTTTATTTTGTAACATTTTAATAAAACATAAAATTAAAATGTTACAAAATAAAAGACTTCCGTTTCTTTATGAAGAATACTGATGTCCACGTGAAGTCATCGACCAGGCACGTGATGCTCTCAGTGACCACTAGATGTCTCCAGTGTCCATCAGAGACACTAGAAAACACTGAAGTATGATAGTGCACTGCGTACTACATGCTGCACAGTATGCACTGAATATGGATATGACCTGGTGTGACTCCAGTTATCATTGCAGAAATAAACTTACTTTGAATTTCTAATCTACTTTTGTGTAAAAACGTCTCAAGTTTGAGTCAAGAAGATGAAATTGTAGTTGAAGTCACTTCGGGTTCATTCATCGCACTGGAAATGGAAGGTGAAACTGGCCTTCATTCATCTGACCATAGTAGGAGTAAACAACTGACCATGGTAACCACTTACCGTAGTACAGGTACAGTAAAATTAGAGTAGTGTCCCACATTCATTGGTGATGTTACAGTAGAAACTGCAGTAACCATGGTAGTTAGGGTGGAAGCTGTGGTTGCCATGGCAACACTGTAAGTGTCTGTAGACCTTGATCATGGCATCCATGGGCTCTGATCAGCTGAACTGAGAACAGATGCTTCAGCTGCTGGTGTCACGGTTACCATAGTAACCAGACCATAATACACACACATATACACATATTGTACATTTGGTTCAATTATTCTGTAAAAGACACATGCTTGAAATTCACAAAACCGACTGCTAAACTGATACATTGTGTTTTTAACCGTCTGTTTGATTTCTTTTAAGGAATTTTAGGAGAAATTGAGATAAAGCTGATTTTTCAAAGAAATACAGTTAAGAACTACATTATGTTCCCTGATTAAGAAAAAAAAAATGTCTAAACATCTGAACCTAAATATTAGATCTGATCTCTATGGAAGCTTGTTTCTGCCACAGAATAAAAAATAAAGTATTTTCTACTTTTTATCTCTGACTTTTATCTCACAATTCTTTCACTTTAAGACACAACACTTTCTTTCAATTCTAACTTTTCTCGCAATTCTGAGTTTATATCGCACAATTCTGAGTTTATATCTCGCAATTCTGAGTTTATATCTCGCAATTCTGAGTTTATATCTCGCAATTCTGAGTTAATATCTCGTAATTCTGATTTTATATCTCGCAATTGAGTTTATATCTCGCACTTCTGAGTTTATATCTCGCAATTCTGAGTTTATATCTCGCAATTCTGAGTTTATATCTCGCAATTCTGAGTTAATATCTCGCAATTCTGAGTTAATATCTCGTAATTCTGAGTTAATATCTCGCAATTCTGAGTTTATATAGTTTATATCTTGCAATTCTGAGTTTATATCTCGCAATTCTGAGTTTATATCTCGCAATTCTGAATTTATATCTCGCAATTGTGAGTTTATATCTCGCAATTCTGAGTTAATATCTCGCAATTCTGAGCTTATATCTCGCAATTCTGAGCTTATATCTTGCAATTCTGAGCTTATATCTCGCAATTTTGAGTTTATATCTCGCAATTCTGAGTTAATATCTCGTAATTCTGAGTTTATATCTCGTAATTCTGAGTTTATATCTCGCAGTTCTGAGTTTATATCTCGCAATTCTGAGTTTATATCTCGCGATTCTGAGTTTATATCTCACAATTCTGAGTTTATATCAGATTATATCTGTTTATATCTCATAATTCTGAGTTTATATCGCGCGATTCTGAGTTTTTCTCACAATTCTGACTATTTTTGCAAGAATAAGGTAAGTCACAATTACCTTTTTAATCTTTTTGTCCCACGTTGGAAACAAGCTTCCATAGATCTGTCATGAAACAACATTCCATTAAATGTTGATCTGAAGTCACGTTGACAGACAACTGAAGAACAATCACACGACGATTCTGGAATCAAAATATTTAATAAGTACATAACAAGTATTATACCATGTATAAAATTCGGAATCACGATTCGAAGCGATGTTTCTGCCGGGACCGCAGATCAGATTAGCCACACTGAAACAGCGAACGGTGAAAGTCAAACAGGTAGGAAAATAAACCGACGGCTCCGTTACAATCTCATTTCTCATCGTCAGTAAGTGCAATAAAACGTAAAACACCACAGGAAACGAGAGCGAGAGCGTGAGAGAAAACAGCCAAGATCACAGACGAGAGGAAAGCCAGCACTGGAAATCAAAGACGGGATATCGCTGTGGGAATGACACACGTCACAGACGAGCAGATAAACATCGTACATCTGCAGTTCCTGAAAAACAAAAGCAGAAATCACCACGAAAAGAGACGAACAGGCCGAGCAACAAACAACCGAAGGGAACAAACAGGGAACAGATGAACGCTTTGGATCTCGTTCACGATGATTGAGCAGCGGATTCGCTCCATCTGTCACGACAATCCAGCTGAAGATGGAGAAACATCAGCAGATCTGGAGAGATTCGCACTGATTCTCCATTTCACCGCAGCTTTCAGCTTCATTAGAGCAGCGGATCAAAGATTCAGTCATTCGATTCCCGTCAAGAACACGTTTGACTCAGTTCACTCCGAAATGAATCAAAGGTACAAAGAATTATATTCTGCATTAAGAAAATGAAGCCTATTTTAAGGACCATTAAGATACTCTAAATAGTGACATTATTTTTTATTACGTTTAAACACATTTTATGCCATTAATATAATGCATAAAAAATGATAAATTATTTTGTGTTAAATTGTATTTTGATATTTTAAATATTAAAAGTAAATATAAAAACAATACATGTTAAAAGCATTTACACATTGTATTTGTAGAACTGCCTCTAATTTTATGCTTGTTTTAATAACAAAAATCTTTTCTTTTTTTTTAAACAGTAATTAGACTTGAAAATCATTGAGACTAAAGAGAAATAAAAAATAACTCAAAACCAAAACATCTGGACAAATTCATGAGAATTTGGGATAAAATGTGTTTATAAGTGCGTCACAATGCAAATTATCATAAAATTAGGCTTCTTTTGTGCAAAATATAATTATTTTATATTTATTTATTTAATAAATATTTAACTACATAATTATAATTAAACAATTGTTTATGAAATATTTATTTCAATTTATTTATATAAAATAATTTTATGAATTATTAACAATTTATATACACACACACACACACACACACACACACACACACAAACAAACACACACACTCACACACATGACTGTAGTGATGAGTTTAACTCAAACCTTGCAGACGTTGTGTGAACACTCGGTGGTGACGGGCTGGAAGGACAGCTCCTGACAGCAAACACACATGAACAGCTGCTCCACCTTACGCAGGAAGTTCTGCAGGACAACAGGAAGTCATGCATCAGCACTGCGTTATTTTACTATCACTGAAACACTATTATAGTTTTTATTCATATTTTGGATTTACTTTTATTTTTATATTTTGTTTCGATTTTAATTTTAGTTAAAGTTTTATTTTTAGAAACGTTCTTGCACGTTTATGTCATTTTTCTTTTGTCTATATAGTTCTTATTTTTTGTATTTCAGTTTTAGTTTATTTAATTTGATTTTCTAGCAACTAACTGAAAGAAACTAATTTAATTTTTTATATATATTTTGAATTAATTTTATTTTTGTATTTTCCACTAGTTAAAGTTTTAGTAATTTTTTAACATTTTTATTAGTTAGTATTTCTTTAAATGTCTGTATAGTTTTTCATTTTTATTTCGATTTTAGTTTTAGTTATTTTAGTGCCTTGGACGGTCGTGTGGTTCGGGGTCGTCCTCTCTTCCTGCCACGCGTCGAGCCGCCCACCGATCGCACCGTCGCCTCGCGCTTCGTCTTATTGGCCATGGCCTCCAGATAACCGGGGGGATACTGAGACACACAAACAAACACAGCTCACACTCAACACTGCGCTACACAAGATATGACAGCATTAATATGAGTGACATGACGGATATTACACAAGCAGCTACTGTAGTTTTGATAACTTATTTGTATTTTAACTTTGTTCTTTTTCTTATGATTTTACTGCATAGTTTCAGTGTTAAATTTAAGCCATCTCAAACATTTTATTGTTTTTCCCGTCAAAGCTTTCACAGACACATTATATGTTTATTTTATTTGTATGTTTTTTTCACACACACACACACACACACACTCTCACACACAGACAC